ACTACAAACCCATCTGTTTGTCTCCTCTTTTTCATATTTTCCTACAATTATGACAATTTTTAGTAATATGCTAGCCTTTGGAAGTCTTAGATATCCCATGATACGCCTCTGACGCGTTCAGCTCTCGGGATAGTTTCTAACATCTGCTAACCAAATGGTTGAGATTCAAATTTCTCAGCACTCCTTTGGTTGTAACTTTATAGTTATAGCAACCAAATGTTATTACAGAATAGATCTCCAAACCTTGTTTTTGTCCCGGCCTGTTTGAAAGGTCCACCTTTATAGCATCCGGTCCTATTATCTATTTTCTTCGAAATATGAATTTGGTTTCCCTTGGCGTTCATTGGGTGGTTTGCAGATGAGAGTGCTTGTTCTGCCCTTAATTTTTTATGTTTATTTCTATTTTATGGATGCGACGAATCTTTACAAGGGTAGGCGGCATGACGAATTATTTCAACGAATTTAGAAATTGATGACTTGGTCGGCTACATTATGCACCAAAATTAATTTAAGGGAAGCGGAGTAAGGGATGAGGATGTGCGTTCGTAATCATAGACAACCCAAATAAAAGGAATGCTTTTTATTAAGATTGTTACTATGATAATAGTTAGTGATGAGGTTAGTGGAACGAGTTGTGAAAATGTTTCTTTCAGTGTCATCACTTATGGAGGATGCTATTGTGTCTACATCCGCTAGGATTGATCTAATTGGAATGTCATTGTTAACAATCGGCTCTACACTGAACTTAGGCCCTAAGGAAAGAAATTTTAATATGTCATGAGGGATGTCAACATTACTGAGATTTTTTATCCAATTTTGTTGAGTGTTGAGCAAGGTTTTTTTGGTGTCATTCAACAATCTGTCAAACTTACGAGTATTAGAGTTTTTTATGTTATGAAAGATTTTATTGTAATGTCTGAGTTGTCTATATTTGAAATTATCAAAAATTAGGGGAGAAGTGGAAGAAATTATGTCACTTTGGAGTGAATTGAGTATGGAATGAAGTTTTTTTAACTGTCTGTGGCAGGAAGATATCTCAAGTGTCAGTATTTTGTCACCTAACCTGTGCAGACGATTTTTCATCCCATCTTCTATTGAATGGCTTTCTAGTATGTGTGTGATTGATGTTAAGCGGTGGGTGATGTGGTGTAATGCCATGTTTTCTACATTTTAATGAGAAAATCCGTCGATTGATCTCCTGTGCCAGTCGTTTTCTGCCCTTGATCCAGTCCTTCATCATTCTTACTGCCTGGTTCCCATGACGTTCCGTGATGTTATTGAAAAACCCCAAATCTGTGGATGTAACTTGAGACGTGGCCATTGTCGTCTAGACCAGTTAGGTGAAAAATTAAAGCTTCCGCCTTTTGTTGGGTACTTCGACAAAGTTTAAGCAAAGAGGACTCTTTATACTTTTTTAATTCTCTCTAGCTTTCAATGGACTTTGCCATCATCATCAGGAGCTGCAATTACAATGATAACAGTAACAGTGATGATGGCCGCTGACAACCATACAAGTCACCGTGTTGTCATTGAATAACATGGAATTAAACCTTCTCCAGTGTATATGTCTTGTGACGGATCCCACACATATGTCACTCGTTGGGGAGTTTTGACATGTAATAATCAGCTGTTATTCAAATGTTAAAAAAGAAAAATATTGCAAATTTCTAGTTTTATTGCAGGTTTTATGTTTGCTGGTAGCTTTACGACAGGTATATTTGGGTATTTCTCAATCGCTGTAAATATAGTGTGGATGTTTGTTCAGTTTCTGAACAACGAAAAATATTCAAATTTATGGATGTATAGATATCAAAAATCTGAATGGTTTTGTGGGAATATCAATCTAAGGTGCCATAATGGTTCTGATGAACGGGAAGTAAATGAATGAATGTTTGGAAACGAGCAATATCTATGAAATTTTTGGTAGCGTCTGTCATCATATAGGTGTTTAATGGCTATCTGCAAAAGGTTTAGATGACAATAAACACGGGAGGTAATGTTAAATCAGTAAAATCGCATATCAATTGAATAAAATGATATAAACATGAATAAAAAACAACTGTAGCAGTTAAAACATGAATTTTATTTAAATATCAAACATTTCCTTACATTTTGACTGAATTATATGTAATTTCTTAATATTCAATAAGCTGGTGATGTTCCAAGGACAAGCTGTCATCTCCTACTTTGACAACATTTTGTTTTCAACATTTCATAGGTATTGGTTGCTGAAATTTGTTCACTGGATGATGAAGCTCATTCGCTGTATTTTATGGACTTTTACCCTATAGGTGGAGAATAACGGAATGTTAGTTTGACATCCTTGGTGAAATACACCCATAGTGTATTTAACTAGCTAAGATAACAGGCAATCTTTCAGATGCGCCCAAGAAATATCAACGGTCAGCAACACTTGAACAGCAATTTGAACTCTGCGTGTAAGCAGTAGAAGTTGTGAACTTTGGAAAACCATTTAATGTGAGCGAGAAAAAGTTCACTAAATACATATAGGACTAATAAAATGTTTATCTATTTTAGATGCTTTGAAACAACGTAAGAATCTGTCACTGAAATCTGACGAACAGTCTGCTCGACCATACATTATAGCCCGAACTGTAATCCTATGTTGACCTATTTGGGCCCCTAATCGGTTTCCGTTGTTTTGGCTTCTGGTGGCTACCAGAGTGTTCGTGATGCTGCAGCTAGTAGCAAAAGCAGCAAGTTTGCAAAGGGTTGTATCAAAAATTTCGTGCGAAGAATCAGGATATATCCTGGTCTGCAGGGAAGTAGCCCAAGGAAATCTCAATGCATACGAAAGGAGGTGCAAGTAATTCTATAAGATAAAACAGAAAACTTGTGAGCAAAAGCTAAGCATAAGCTACCATGAAATTAGGCACTCACTAGGAGGCTCTCAGCATTGGATTGAGGCAGTAGCAAAATGGTAGGTTCCGTAATTGAGAATGGAGGGCGGCCTTCAAGGTTGCGGGTGGTCTGTCTCAATTATGGGATTGCAATGTATGGTTGCTAAGACACTTTCGACAAGTGAAGGTTTGTATAATTTCCGGGTAGAAATGCGTGATGAAGGTGAATATCTATTATAATCTCAGATAGAGGTGTAAACTCGTAACAAAGCCTTCTGTTTAAAATATCTGGATACATCTCAATTATTCATTTTGCACCCGTATCGCATTAACATATTTATTATTCATTTTGCACCTATAACAATGAAACTGCATCAGTAGTGTTCATTTCAAATTTAAACTAGCAAATTAGCTACTTTGATGTGACTGCTGTATTCGACGCGTGTCGAACGTGGCCAGTGCGAACATTGACTAGTCACGCATCGAACGCTCTTTTTTTTTGTAGAGCGAAAACTAGTCGCCCAAGTATAGTGGCCGTTAGTGAACTTAAGTTTGGTATTTAAGGTATACAAACCTGGATAAAAGCTGAGAGCTAAACGTTAAGTGTGCATTCAATACGAAATTGAATGCCCCTAAAGTGACGACGAAGAAGTTTTAAACTACGATGAATTTCCGTCCTGTTTCGAGATTCCCTCGCCTATTCCCTACGTCTTTCCCAAAACCTCTCAGATTGCTCCGTAAGACCCCGTAAACGATGAACATATAAAAATAAAGGACGCCCTTACATCGCCTTTTCCGTCCCAGGAAAAATCACTCCTCTAAATCTCTTCATATGAGAGAATGTGAGCCCGGCTCGTATTACCGAGACTCTTTTATTTATGGCCTCTAAACAGCAGCAAGTCGCTCCCTTATTCTCTATCAGATCACCCTCAACAAATTATTTAGTTATACTCAGATAAATCCTTCTTAATCTGGATTTGTAAGTTCGAATTTGTTGTTGAAGTTCGTGTTCCGGGAGCTTCTTTGTTCGATCATTCTCAAAATTAAGTTTGGATTAAAAAAATGTAAAATATTCCATCACACATTTCACTGACTGAGCCTGTACCTCCTAAGCAGTGCTGTTATCACCTATAATAATTCAAGGCCACAAAATAGAAAAGTGGTATGTGATGAGGGTCCCACTGTATTTTTCCCATCTACCTTTTTCACTAAACATCAAATCTCTGAGGAAAGTTCAACCAACATAGACACGAAAAATCGTAATTATGATATCTAAATTACGTTCATTTTTGGTCATTATCCCTTAAGTTTGACTTCAGATAGTTTTTTGCATTTTTTATAAAATTTGTCCGTCGAGCCCAAATTCTGACTTCAGATTCATGTTTAGCGAGGAAAATTAAAGTGGCATCCCCAGTACACATCACTTTTCTTATTCTGGGGACCTGTATATGACATTCACCATACAAATGTAGTAGTAGCGGTGCGGAGGCGAAGTCCTGATCTTCTAATAAATGTCAGAATGTCAGACCATTCGGCTGAGTAAGCAACTTTACTATCAAACTACACGCCAGTAGCCCAGAACATGCAACGCTGTTTCGTCCTCCCACCACGTGGGGCAGGTTGGATCTTTCGTCTTCCTCAAAAAGCAAGTGTTTGTTTAGTTTGCAGTGTCTGGTGAGAACCCCCACCAAAAGTTTGAGTGATTATCTACCCCTGTTCAGTAGCCACCGCGTCCATCGTGTGTCGGGACCCACTACGTTTTGGCCTGTCTCACTAGGTGTCTATACAACCATTCATGCACTGCGGTGTTGACCTGGCTGCTGCTGCTTATGCTCAGAATACGCTCCATTAGTCTGACGTCACTAAGTGAGGTAGGTCAGGTGTCTGAATCTAAACAAAGGAAGTCGCCATTAGAGCTAGTCAGTGGCTATTTTATTTGCATCTTTTCTGCTGTGATTTGATCATTTTAAACGAAATTAACTTCTGAAAGTAAGTATTTGGTTCATTATTCAAACAAAGCATGAAAAAATATCACGTACAATTAATAAATGACAATCTAATTTTAGCGACGAAATTATTATAGGTTATGTTGTAATAGTATAATAAAGCTAATTTGTATCTTTCTTCCATAACTTATTGCACAATTTCAAAAATATACGATCCATAACTAATACGAGCTTATTTTCAGTGTCCTCGAAACGTGTTATTTCGTTTTCGGCAATAGGAGAATTTTTCAAGGATGATATATCCCAGCTTCAACGTGGTGAAAATTCTTTTGAAAGTGGGAATGTCCACAAAATGCTATTTGATGCAGAAGTTTCTCCAGCACTATTAAGGGGAGAAGTCGCCGCAAGTATGAAGAAAAAAATGTATGCTGTGGAGGTAATACTAATTGATTTATATGAATGTTTATTTTTATATTAATGAATGCTCATATTTCAGATTTCATATGATCTTGATGATGGGATTGTCTGTGCTAAATGCTCCTGTCCAAGAGGTCTAGCAGTTTGTCACCACATGGCTGCTCTTTGCATCCATGCTCACCATAACATAAGCGTGACAGATAAGACATGTTTATGGAGTAAACGGAAGCCAGCAGAAACTGAACAGGTCACAAAAATTAGTGATATCTACAAGCCTAAATATTCAGGTTTCAAAGCTGCTCAAAGAAGTGCAACTGAGTCTGAGATTGTAACATTGATTCAATCAATAGGTGATGCTACACCTGTAGGATTTACGTGGTGGTTGTTGCCAGAGCCTTCAGTAGACCTCATGTTGTTACCAGACATTGAGGCAATAATTTTTTCCAACGAGTATACAACAGCTCCCAATAAAGAAGACTACTTTTTACAGAAATGTTGTGTGAGTGAGAGCATAATAAAGAAAGTTGCAGAGATGACTATTGGTCAGTCAAACAATGCTAATTGGCTAATGGCTAGAAAGTACAGACTGACATCCAGCAAGTTTGGTGCAGTTTTATCAGCTTGCCAAAAGAAGAAGTACCCAAAATCATTATTCGAAGGGTTATTAGAAGGATACGATTTGAGTGGAGTTCGGGCTGTCCAGTGGGGAAGGGAAAATGAACAAAGCGCCATAGAAAAATTTCAGGAAATCACAGGATTACATGTAGAACCAGCAGGATTCTGCCTTGATGAATGTGGTTTTTTAGGTGCAAGCCCTGATGGCTATATAAGTGAAAATTGCATTATTGAAGTGAAATGTCCTTTCAAACATAGGAATGCAGAAAAACTGTCAGAGGTGCTCACCAGTAATGAAAATTATGTTGTTTTTTATGATAACTCTTCCTGGACCATTAATGAAAATCATATTTATTATCACCAAGTACAGGGACAGTTATACATCACAAATAAAGATATGTGTTATCTAGTAATATGGATTCCAAAAGATACTATAATTATGAGAATTTCAAGAAATGATGAATGGAAAAATAATATAAATACTTTAAAATCGTTTTACTGTCAACAATTTCTGGCGAATATTTTATTATGATTGGGTAATAAAACAATATTTATGCAACTGATGTTTTATTTTACATATTTTACAGACATTATCTTCTCTACCAGCTGTCAAATTATTGTAATTTTGAATTAGGAAATTGTATAGTATTATACCCTCTGTTTGCACATAAAAGATGTTTGATTAGGTAGCTAGTAGAGGAGATGAATTATAAAGTACAAAGCAGTTGAAAAATTACATTTCAAATACAGTGATCATAGAATAAATACAGTGGTTTTTTAATACAACAATATGTATAGGATACAAAATCCAAAATAAACTTTCTAAAACATCTCTGAACATGTCTTAGAGCAAAAAGCTCAACATATTCATGTAGAGACTGGATGGTTTTGGTGGATCTCTTTAACTGCAGTCATTGGCATGTAGTGTAAAACAAAAGATATATTTCATTAAAAGTTGTCAATGAGAATACTAGTCATATAGCAGCAGTTTAGATTTTTATGGGTTATTGAATTATTTCTATGATTCTTGTAATGTCTTACTGATATATGAATGAAAATGTGCAGGACAGTTATATTATTTATTGCTAATTTATGTTGTGCTCTCTTATTATATATACTATAAACCAGATGCAAAACTATAGCTTATGGACACCTTCAGAATAAAACTGTTCAACTTCTCTTATAAGTGGGTACTGTAGGTTTGTCAAAGCACCTATAACTTGGAATACTATATCTGCATGTGGCAACAAAGCATATGGAATGAAATCTAAGATATTGAATGTTTTTAACCTTCTTATTGCACGTTCAACATGAATCCTAGCTCGTGCAATACATTCTGTTTGTCTTACCTGTTCAGCAGTAAATTGACTTGTTGTAAGAAATGGTGGAATGTTAATACTGACACCAGAAGGCATTAAATCTTTTATTAAAAAACCTTTGTCTGCCAATACTAAATCTCCTGCTTCAAGCTGATCAAGTACTCCACAATCCTTGACAATTTTTTTGTCTGAGGTTGACCCAGGATACAAACTGGACATATAAGTAACTGCCCCATTTGGAGCTACACCAACTAACCCTTTGCAAGTATTTCTATGTTTGTATGAGCTATATGTTAATTTTTGTGTAGCCATACTTGACCTACATACAGATGTATATACTTCAGTACAATCTATGATTATTCTACAGTTTGTGAAACTACTGAAACAATTTGGCAAGCAAAGTTTGTTTTTATTTCTAGAAGGAATTTTTGCCGTCATTTGTTTGAAAAGGATTTCATGGAGTAAATGTATCCATGTTGTAATAACATTTGATACTGTACCCTGAGATACATTGAAACGAACAGCTAAGTCATCATGGGGAAAATTTTGTCTTAACTTAATCAGAGTCATGAATAACTGATCTATTTTTCTCATCTTTTTAACCGTCCATTTATAATAATAGTTGATTTCAATGTCCTTTAACAGGTTGTATAAAGACAAAAAAATTTTCTCTGTGGGTAAGCCTGTATACAGCAGGATTAGCCTATCATTTCCTCTCACAACATCAAAAGAAAATCTATCTGTGAGATGCATAAGGTTCTTTGTAGCTTGCCCCAGATCTTGCCTCAGATAATAGTTTTCAGCATCTAGTGATGCATTTGACATTGAACTTTCTGCACGAGGTTCATCAATTTGTGCTGAGGTGGATGGCTGCGACTCACTTTCAGATCTGTGAACACAATGCATTTGCAGATACTTGTATGAAATTGATATTGTAGGACTAACCTTATATCTACATTGATATTAATAGATTGATCAGCTGCCTTTTTACGGGTTCTTCTTTCTGGTGATGGAAAGTTAAATTGCTTCTCTTTATTATATGTAAATAATGTAGGCCCATTTTCTTTCTTCCCATCCATAAAATGACAACTACATAAGTAAGCACCAGGACCTGGTTCAACTGTTCTCCTGCAATCAAATGAAACATACACATATATGAATGTTGTTGTCCTCAACTAACTTTCCAATGTCCCCGAAAAATATACATAATTCCAGTATGGTCTTTGTGGCGTTACCTTGTAAGTTTTATCCAGCGATTCCTTGTTTTTGGATCTTTAGGAAATCTGAACATCTTACATGTTTCTCTAACATTATAGTGCTTACAGTCGGGTGCCCAGCACTGCACCATTTTCTGTAACAAATAACAACCATCAGAGAAAAAGTAGTGTTTGAAAATATCCTATTCAAAGAAATTTCAAAAGTTAGGTTAAGTGAGTAACAATATCTAAATATAACATATTTTATAAGGAAAATACTTACATATTCAGCGGATCACCTAGTTATAGACGGACTTGTAAACTAGCAACCTTATTTCCAACAAAAACAGTTTCAAAACTCCACTTTAACCACTTGATCCGAGAAGAAGAAATGTCAAAATACTTGTTTAGATTCAGTGCCATAACCTAACCCAATATGTGACGTCATTGCTAATGAAGCGTATAGGCTCTGTACCGATGCAGGTGCTTCTGGCCCCAGACTATCCAGGCGATCAGATTTCTCATTGCCCGGCTAAGCTACTAAAGGCAGTGGTACATTCTTGAAGTGAGGGTGATCATGTCCTCGGGGATGCCACTGCCTACAGGATTGCTTGAGTGTCGGAATATATAAGTATGCCCCGCTCGGTGCACTGCTAAATTTTCTCTGAGTATGCCACCATTAAGATGGCAAATATCTCTGCCTGAAGGATCGTTGTGCAGGTTTCGAGCGCAAAGCTTCCCTGCATTCCTTTACCTTCCAAGTATACTCCCGCCCAACTGGACCCTGTTTCTTTGGAAAAGGATCCGTCAGTAAAGCACACAAGGCACTGAGTTGAGAATGATAGTTCTCCATTTGCCCATTCTTCATTCCATACACACATACGAGCCCGTTCCCACTTCAGCTGGGCCACTTTGTACCAAAATATGCCTTTATAAACTAAACATTTCGAAACTATTTATTTCTAAAACAATTTATTTTGTTAAAAACATTTTAGATACACTCTAGTCGTAAAAAATACATATTTGAAATCACTTAGACCTATAACTAATAGAACATCTGAACAAATAAGCAATGTGCGAATAAATGCGCAAAGTTAACAAAGCAACAATTGAAAGATTACCATTGGGTAACATCACCTTTATTTTTTATTACGGATTAAATTCTTTGGGGCATAGTGATAGCCAAGTTTTGGCAAAAATTTGGCGTAAAACAATCCCATATTTCTTGAAGCTATTGTCTCAGTTCGGTGATTGTACGAGCAGGATGTTGTCGTAGAACTGGACTGCTAGAAACCCATTTCAAAAGTGGTACATTATTTCCTTCCATCCATTTTATAGCCTTTTTTGAGGTATGGCACGCTGCACCATCTTGCTGAAACACAAAATCTTGGTCGGATGTCAAACATTCTTCCATCACTGGTAAAAGCGAGTCTTCTAAAATTGCCAAATATTTGTTTGTATCCACATTTCCATCAATAGATGAAGTTTTCCTACTCCTTTTGATGACATACTGCAGCAGACAATAATGGATGCTGGAAATTTCACTTTCCTCTTCAGACTGTCAACATGGAATGCCTCATTTTTTTGCGAATAACTACTGCCACTGTCACCAACACAAATTTCGAATCGGGCCTCAGCACTCCATTGTATTGCACACCATTGTTGAGGTGTCCATTGTCTATGTTCTTTAGCCCATCTAAGCCAATTTTTCTTTTGCAGTGGAGTTAATAGTGACTTTTCTTTGGCCTATGAACAAGTTGTGCAACTTTAGGGTTCATACTTTACTTTCTTTATAAGAAAACTTACCTTGCAAGTGCCCTCAGTTTGTGGGTCTCTCTCTGAGTTGTGGACCTCGAAATTCTCCTTCCAACAGCGTCACTTCACAGAGCACTTAATTGTAAATAATTGGCACGCCTGTTTTTGACGATTATTCTTCTTAATGCTTTTCGGTCGGCATTTGTGATATTTCTTTTTTTTCACATATCGTGGCTTAATATTAACTGAACCAGTTACGTTATATCTTCTAACAATATTTCTCACAATGTACCGCCATAAGTAACTTGCAATTTCTGAGTTTGATTTCCCAGAATTAAAAAATTTAATTATCAGTAACCGAATTTTCCCACTAATAACCTTTCCTCTACCCATTTTGAAAACCTTAACTACCCAAAACTATTTTAAAAGCATTCTGATTAATAAAAACAATTGTCATTGCTTTTATTTTTCACAGCCACCTATGCGTTATAGACTAATTTTGCATTGAAATGAAAATAGGTTTATATGCTGTAATTGCAACATGTGTTATTTTTATCTTGCAAATTTGATTAGGGAGTGATAAAGTTGGTGTTTTCTACTATATATATATATATATATATATATAATCAAAATATTCATTATTAATATTTTAAACCTATAACACCCTGCTACATTTTTATTATTTGTGTTTGATAAAAAAAAACCTAAGAATTCAATAGTTGGGACAACTGAAGTGGGAAGGGGCTCGTATTTGTCTTATTTTTTCTGTACATTATCCTACTTAGAGTTTACCACCACGTGTTAGACTAAGGTCCTGAGAGTGCCAATGAGTTGAAAAATACCTCATGGTATGAATCTTGTAATAAGAGCTTGATCCACTATTTAGCTAACACGTGAAATGGTTGACTGATTCATGCAACACTTAAATATTATATATTAAAAAAATGTAATTATCTACGCCAGGGTTGACCCATCAATTCTTGAATTTTTTCAAATCGTATCTTACAAACAGATGCTTGAAAGTCACCTCCAGATTATACCTTCTTCCGGCGTACCTCAAGGGCCTGCTGTTGGCCCTGTGCTTTTCCAAATTTTCATTGATGACGTCGTTGGGAAGCTACACGTAGCTGTCTTCTAAAGGGTTGTCCAATAGGGACGCAGGAAAGTAAACGTCAATTTGACATAGACGCCATCTTTGTTTTCTGTCACCGACATGTCATTTTGTTAGTTGAATGTTTACCATTGATCGCTATGGAGTCGTATTCGATTGAAGACCGCATTAAAGTTATTCAGGAGCACTACAAAAATGGTGCAAAAATAAAGAACACGTTTCTCGCGCTTCGTAAACATTTCGGTCGCAACAACCACCCAAACGAAACAACCATCGGTCGTCTGGTGCGTGAATTCCAGGCAACAGGTTCTGTGGCAAATCTGCCAGGCTCTGGCCGGCCAAGAAGCGTTCGGATATATGCAGACGATGAACATTTTTTTTAAAACTGAAACCATGGACGACTGTAATATATTGCAAAAGGACTTGAGCAACCCAGATAAGTGGTGTCACCGTAACAAGCTGATAAATGCTACACTTGTTCTAATCAGAATCATATATAACACTGATAATTCGCAACTTAACAAATGTGAAGAGTTTCATGACTTAGGTATACTCTTTGATACCAAACTTGGCATATTGATGCTGTTGTTAGCAAGACCTATAAGAGTTTGGGCTTCATCATCAGAATTTTTAGGGATTTCAATAATGTGTATACCATGATCTCATTATATAATTCATTTGTCCGATCCAAAATTGAATACTGCTCTGGTATGCTGTTCATGAAGTTCACTCGAATAAAATTGAACGTATTCAGAGGCGGTTTGTGAAATATTTGTGGCACAAGGAAGATGGTACGTATCCAGAAGTTGGCTTCAGGCATGATGTATTAACAGATATAACCTCTGTGACTTGGAGAAACGCAAAAACTACGCTGCTTGTGTATTTTTATATAAAATGTTTAATAATGCCATAGATTGTGAATATTTACTCGGAAAGATTCTTATTCATGTACCTAATGCTAATAATAATAAAAAATTGTCTTTATTTAGGGGGCGAGGTTTAGCATAATGCTAAGACGCGACCCAATTCAAAATACTTTTACTTAAACGTAGCTAGAACCGATACGTTGCTTTCCTCTTCTATGAACGTGCAAGAAACGCTGTCTATTTGTTCTTTTCAAATTTGCGTAGCTTAAAAAGATTTTACATAACAGTAGGTTAAGTCATTTGGCAATTTTAAGTTATTTTAGAACAATTTTGTTTTAAAATTGATTCTTGAGTCCCTATCCGTTAAATGGTGTAATAGACCGTTCGGACAGTGTATATACTAGTAAATAAATGAATAAATAAATAAATCGTGATCTTCCCTGTCCAGCACTAGTGCCTTTACTGTGGCACACTCATATCAGCTTTGAATTTTAACTTCTTATAAATTAGTATTAGATTTTTTTAAGTTTTATGGACCGTCTACAACTTGGGAAGTACCGCTTGGATTTCAGACAAGGTTACTGCTATGCCAAGGATGAGTAAGAGTTGTAGTTTTTGAACATCGTCCGATTGGCGGTTGAGAAATAAGCCAATAATTAAATCGATGGAAAAAGCTGAAACCTCGTTTTTTGACGTTTCATGGAATCCTGATCATTTTCAGAAAAAAAATTGCGGTGGTTAAAATTGGATGTTGGCGGCTGTAGAGGTTGAGAGTATGCCATATTCTTGTTGCTAGCAATTTATACGTTTCCAACCCCGGCAATTCTACGCATGTTAGGCATATTTCATAAATTATGGATTTTTATATATACTCGCCCAGACAAGTTTTAGATGTACCCGTACCAAGGAACGAACTTAGATCTATCTACTTCGAAGGCCGAGGGATAACCGAACCACTGAATGATGTTGCGTGTATAATAACGATGCCGTGCTACGATGTCATGTTGGCTGGGCGGTCGGTATAACCGGTGGGCATGTAGGCTAGATCGCAATGTTGTCAAATCTGTGGAGACTATGAACTGATTATATGAGGCTGTTTGACTCCATTTGATTCTTTTGTTGTAGATGTACCTAGCCAGCTTTTTCTAAGAGAATCTTGTGCCGAATACCATCATTTATTTATTCATTGATGACAATGTTGCGTCGAAACGTAGAGTCAACTTACTTGACGGCATTTTTCTATCTACAATCACCTATTTTTCTCTACAAGAAGCGTTGTTTTGGCACTCCGTCAAGCTGTATAAATAAATGAAGCTTTCACACTGCTCGCAGTACTTCCTCCTACCCAAAACGATTCCGATCGACATCAATATATAGCTGCAACCATGTATACCTCAGTGGTGAATGTCTAACAATTTATCTTGGAAATGGGATATGGTACACAGTCATGGCTATATTCAAGGTGATACATGTATAGGGACTACTTTAGTTGCTTTCATAGTCAAGGCAAAAATCTTGAAATCTCTGCTCTAAGCTACCGATGCCAGTGAGACAGAACATCATTTGAATAAAGTCATACGCCAGAAAAACCTAATATCACTTAACCCTTTGCCGCCAGATTTAACTTTTTATACTTATACGTTTTTATATATTATAGAAATGTTCATTCGGAACTAATCAATATGAAATGACCTTTTGGACATCACATATATATTTACTTTATCATGTAGGATATGGTCTTCTGGGGAAACCAGTGAGCTGTTACGATATATTAATAAGACATTTACAAAATTGAGCGTTTTTATTATTTTCGAACAGATACAAATGATATTTCGATAGTATTCATAGTTTCAAATGATTAAGCACTCATGACGCTTCATCAAAAACCTTCGTATTTGACGAAATTCTGCAAAACATTTTTTGTCATGCTTGATGCAAAGTCCCACATCGCAAGTGGAACATTTCCACAAGTTGCGTGTAACGACCCCCTTTGTCCTACAGTTGGCACACCTTAAAGATGTCGCTCTTTGTGGCATATGAGATGCTTTTGAAGTTCGCTGATCTGTAGATACATATTTCTTGTATTTGTTGGCACAACTTGCAGTTGAAGGGCGTCCTCTTTTGACCGACCCTCTAGCTCCAATGAGCCATGCAATCACCGACAAACGGAACTCTTTCAAAGTAATACTTTTCGACTCGCTCCTCATCTTGAACAATATAAAAGCATTCACTACAGAGACGTCTAAAGAATGAAAAAATATTCTGTGCCACCACTTATCAGACTTGCGATCGACTTCGTATAAGCTTTTCAGCATGTCAAATTTATCGACGTAGCCCATATGACAGTTGTAATCTTTGACCATTCGAGGGCAAGCAACCTCTTCTATTACACCAGATTTCAATTTCCTAGAAACTCTCTCGATAACATTTGGGTTCTGATGATTGGCAAGGAAAAGTACACTTCGTTTATCCCTCCATTTGAGAGCGGCGAGTCCATCTGTGGATATCCGAAAATCAATGTCGCCACTTTTCATCTTTTTGTCACTTTTGAAATCTGGGTAATGTTTACGTCCCTTGCATATAGTTCCACTAGCATAGATTCCATTAGCAAGAAGATATCTTTGAAGTTCTACAGAATTGAAATAGTTATCGAAAAATACTCTATGCCATTTACCAACTAGTGGTCCAGTCAGATCCTTGACGGCTCTACAGCCTAAGCTTTTTTCGATGGAATCGCACTCTTTACCCGTGTATTTTTGGAATTCACACAGAAACCCACTCGAGTCTGCACGTACCCAAACCTTATACCCTCTTTTTATAGGTTGATTGGGCATATAGTGTTTCAAGGAACTTCTTTCCTTGAAACGTATCGTTGGCTCATCAACAGCCTGAAATTCGTGAGGATTGAGTGCAGCAGGGAAAGTTTCACTAAGTTTAGATAAGAATGGGCGAACTTTATAAAGCTTGTCATAGCCAAGCTCATTTCTTTTGGATTGTGTTCCATTATCAGCTAGATGAAGGTTAGCCAATAGCCAGGTGAATCTTGTCCGAGATATGGCTTCACTGACGTAACTGTCACAAAGTTGTTCATTAGATGACCAGTAATCTCTGTAGCTGGGGAGTGGCTTCATTCCCATCAACAGATTTACAGCCAAAAATGTTTTGACCTCATCCTCAGTTGTGGGAATAAATATGCTATCTCCTCCATGTGTTTGAATATAGTATAAGATAGTTTAAAAAACTATATTTTTTATTAGATCATCAGGGAAAAGTTGAAGAAACATGTCGACTGGACTTTCAACTGTGTCTGGAATGTTTGGGCCTGTTCTTCCGCTAAACGGTTGTGATCTTGTAATATAACTTTCATCTTGTGTCCAAGAAACTTGATTATAAATATTATTCGCTAAATTTGACAGTGGTAATTCATCTTCACTATCCCACTCGGAAAAATTAGCAGCTTGTGTCAATATCTCCTCTTCGATGTCGCAAACTACATCACTTCGTAGATCAGAATAAGTTATGTCAGCCATAACGCTTGCTATATTCAATGCGACTGATTCATTATCGCTGGGTATGTCCTCCAAAATATGATTAATATTTCTCTGAGTAAGATTTTCCAACTCTCGAAATGTCCAGCTTTGTTTCGCCATATCTACGAAAAAAAATATTTTGTGCCTGCTGGTTATCCCACAAGACCTCGTAGTTTGTGACCATATATCGAAAACAAATACATACAACTTTATAGTAAATGTGTACTAAAAGTGAAGATATTTGACTTATCAAACTTACCAACACAGAATTTGTACCAAATAGCAAAGTAACTTTCTTGAAAAATACGTTATTTCAATCAGGTACGTCACCAGCTTGCCGGTACAGTAATTCATAAACATTCATTTGACATATGTCATCATCTGATCTATTTGCTGGGCTGTTATTTTATTGTGGATAAATCATAACATATAGGCAACCAGTAATTCTTCCGGCAACTTCAGAATACCAGTGAGTCGCACGTAAACAGACTTTGAATTGGTGGTCATCTCAGAAGACCAACATGCCGCAAAGGGTTAAACAGCTATACTGTCAAGATTACAAACAGACAGATAATTTTATAACTTGTCAATTGATCAGTAACGCAGTATAGATTATCTTATAAACAGCGAATCTGTGAGGAAAAACAGCGGATAACTTATTATATCTTCAACTCTCCTAAATATCCGTTTCATATTAGCATGCTAATTTTTGTCTTGCGATGCAATATTTTTAGACTGGACATCAGTGCGCAGATACCTTGACAACAGCAACCTACAAAGGTAGACGTGAGATACTCCATATTTCAGTAATCTTCGACTCACTGCGACTTTGCGTTATAAGCCAATTATATGAGGATTTCCACCTTTTACTTCAATGCTACTTCACGAACAGAAGAAAAGCCATCCCAGCAACATCAATGAGATGTAAGGTTCCACTTTGGTCTCGTCCCCCGTCTTTAGGAAAAGCGGTCCCTCCAAAAGCCGGCAGCGGAAGAACATCACTTGAACGACTGTAAGGCTATTATTAATATTTTTTTATTTTTTCCTTTGCTCAGTAATCAGGTCCTTCAAGGGAGGTCTTTGAGAGGACGACAGAAATTTACTTTTTTATTAGAGATTCATTTATTAAGGAAAACGGTTCTTTGTGCTTTGTAGGAAAATATTTGGAAGTAGGATGTATGCGGAATCAAAGCATAAGGATTTTCATCGAAAGGGCATGGAGATAATATATTGGGTATTCCAACCGTGCGGGGACGTAGTATTGTTCCTAAACAAAGGATTTATGGATTATTAAGTATGGTATCTGGAGGCGCATTTCTGAAATATTCACAATTACACAGGTTGTCCCAATTTTTACCCGCATATCAAGAAAGTGTTCAAAAATATCCTCTCGTAGTTGAACACACAATCAAAATGATTGAATGATATGAAGCGGGTAATACAAGGAACGTTTGTGAATATCAGTTGACACACGCTACAAAATATGAAACAAACATTCATTCGGAAAAATAAAACATTTTAACTGTCAACATGGGAGATATATGCAGGTGGTCAACTTTGATATATGGGACACCTTGTATAGTTGTGAATATTTCAGAAATTTGGTTCCAGATACCATGTTTGAATAGTTTAGAAAATTCTTGTTTGGGAGCAATATACCCTCTCACGGTTGGGACACCTTGTATTTGGTTGCTAACAAAGTAGTTACATTCCATTTTCATGGATGGATGGATTATGCCGTTTGTCCTTGTGTTTTGAAAGTGCTGCATTGAATTGAAGCCGTAATTTGATGAGTTCCATGACATCGACAGAACGTGACTGTTCACTTTGGATCAAACTATGGATCACTTAGATTAAAGGATTTTTTATATACCGAAGCAGCCGCGCAGGCACTAGCCTAAACACCGGGACACCTCGGCTGCTATGAGGACCGCAAAGAAATTTTGAACTGCCTAAGATTAGTAGAACTGGGGAAAGCTTCTTCTTGTATATTACCCCATAATATCGACACCCTTGGGACAATGAAGCGGTCGTATTGGCCAGTTCTGGATTTACGAAGTTCGACATGGTTAGGATGGGAGGCGGGTCGGTCTGGCGCATCGCGCGGCGGCATCATGGAACAGAGCTCTGAGGAGCAAAGCCCGTTGGTGTAGCGGTAGAGAGAGTTAGATCGCCGACGGCCCGAATGTGCGAAAGGGTTCCGAGACTATCTGTTAGAGAAGAGTCATCGATCAGTCGGGCAGCCCTTCTCTGGACAGCATCAAGCATAAACAATGTAGTCGGGGCGGCAACACCCCAAACGTGTAAGCACTACTCGCGGCTAGGCCTTATCTGGGCCTTGTATAAAGTGAGAAGGTCATGCGGAGAAAAGTGCTTTTTAGTCCTAAACAAATAGCCTAGCTTTTTCCCAACAGCTGCCGCTATTGATGAGATGTGTTCGTGCCAGATCAAGTCCTCGGTGATCTGGACTCCGACCAGCCGAAATGAATGGCTTTTTGGCAGAACTCGGTCATCCATCGAAACCGGATGAGTGCTAGGACGATTTTTGTTCGTCACAGTACGGTACAGCGTTCTGGAAGCATTAAGCAGTACAAGATTGTAGCATCCCCAGGCAATGATAACCTGCAGATCTCTGGCCAGAGAGGAAGTCGTCGCTAGTCTTTTTTTTTCAAGCTCAGTGGCAGAGATCGGCTTGTCACTGTAAATTCCTGCATGTAGAGTGCTGTCATCGGCGAAACTGTGGATTGGGTTGATGGTGCAAAAACGGAGGTTGTTGATATGTAAGAGGAACGGTGTCGGAGCCAAGACCGATCCCTGGGGAACACTCGCGTTGACCTTGTCGAATGAAAACGAGAACCCGTCAATTACGACGAATATCTTGCGGCCATCGAGAAAGTCAGCCACCCATCTGCAAAGCTTCTCTGGAGGGCCATAGGATGGAAGTTTGCATAAGTGGGCTGCGTGCCACATCTGGTCAAACGTTTTCGTGATATCAAGAGCAACGACTTGAGCCTCACCATAAGACTGGACGAGTTAACTCCACAATTGCGTGAAGTTGACTAGGAGGTCCCCTGTGGATCGCTGGTGCCGGAAACCATACTGTCTGTCGCTAATCAAGCCGTGACGTTCGAGGTAGTCCAGAAGCTCGCGATTTATGCACATCTCCATCACATTACTTATCACAGAAAGCAGAGCTATAGGCCTGTAGTTGTAAAGGTCGATCTTAAATCTTTTTTCTTTTAATGGGTTGGACATGAGCAAATTTCCAGTTTTCTGGGAAGGTGCCTGATTCATAAGGTATCTGGAGGAGACGCGAAAGGACTGGAGCAAGCTCTGCTGCACACCTCTTTAGTATAATGGCAGGAATCAAGTCCGGACCAGAAGCTTTGTTGCTGTCGATCGGCAAGAGCACCCGTCTTGCGGTCTTATGCCTGAAATTTCATATGCTACAATAATTTGATGAGAGCTCAACCTCCATGCCACGAACAGACCATGGGAAAACTATTAAGTCGTGCTTAAATTTATTACTTCATACCTTTGACGAAACATTTTACGTTTGAACTTTGGAAAGTATTTTGTACTTCCTGTACATAGGTTGGTTACGGCCACACAGACGAAAGGCAAACGGGGCCCGAATAATTCGAATAGATTGGAAGCAGACAAGCCTATATGTTTGCATTACACTGTTTCTCGCCAAAATTGCGTAGTCTTAGTGCATAATTTTGACTCGCTTGACTATCAATACCTTCCAAAGTGACAAGTTGGTATCAACAAAATAATATTTAATACCTTCATTAGGCTTGTGCCGCTCTTTGCAAATCATGTAAAAAGTACCACTTAAAGTTAAAGATAAATGACAGAACTGTCAAAAAATTGAATTATGTCAAGTGCACTTTGATCCTCGCTAGTATGAGTATCAGTATTAGGTGGCTAACAAATCCTTGACTGGCGACTTCTGCCTAGTCTGAATTCGTTGGTTGAGCCAGTGATAAGTTTATGCAACTATTACACAGTACGTCAAAGGTGGTAGTATGGTAACTACTTGTTGCGTCCCTGACTGACAAGACACCGGTACTATCGCGTTTGGCAGACTACAAAAATGAGTTTCTCAGTAGAGCTATTTTCGCTTGTTTGCTTTCCGCTGTCGCTATTTAATGACTGGACCTATACCGTCCTGATGACTGCTAAGAACCATGAAATAACGTCGTATACGGTTGGTTATGGACAAAGAGACGAAATGCAAACATACCTCATTTAGCTTGTGTTCAGTTTATGCAGTTTAGGCATGTCAAAGGTGGTAGCTTGGTGACTATTTGGTATTCCCCTGAGTAAAACCGTTGTGAGTTTCATCAAGAAGGACTGCCAATTAGGAATGCTGTAGTTTCCTGCTACCGATGCTGGGGTCGGTACTACCACGGTTGTCATAGGTTGTAGTGAGCTTTGCAGTTTAGTTATTTCCGCTTGTTGTTTTGTGTTTCCAATTACTAGACCTACATCATACCGATGATTGCTAAAAAGCATGAAAGACGTTGTGTATGGTTAACAATGCCATTCTTTTAAAAAAACATATCCCAATGAAAAATATGGGACAGTACAGTGTCGCCAAAAATACTCTGAAACAGGTTACAATGTCAATAAAAACAACTTTTGCCACATAATGAATTGTTTTTATTGCAGCTGGATTACGGAAAATTAAAATCAGTCATAAGATTTTTCTTGTTTGAGTTTTGAAGGGAGAATTATAATTCGTGGAAAGTTCCAAGTCACCTGGATAGAATGATAAGGAACGCAATTCAGTAATTATTGT